ATAAATATATAATTCGTATATGTGTGTGTGTGTATGAATGTTTATGTATTGTCCTAGAAACCAGTCATTTATGTGTGTGTGTGTGAGTGTATGGAAAGGCGTAAGCTCTGCACTGAGAGCGAGAGAGCGAGAGCGAAGAGTGTATGTGTGCGTGTGTGGGTGTGTGCTAAGAGGAAAACTAAACTGTCAATTCAAATAAAAATACACAAAATAATAAACATTAAGTACTTAAGATTTACGTTCAAGTCATTTACAAGTCAAATTAGGTTTTCGAATTTCTTGTTGTTGTCCATTGATGTGGTTAGGTTAAGCGTTTTCTGGTTGCTTTGTTTTCTTTTTGGTCGTCATGTCTTTTAGGGTGTCGCATTCGTGTCGTCGCATCCGTTGATCCTCAGCTGTTGCTCGTCGTCCGCACCGTCCGCACCGTCCACATGGTCCACAGGGTCCACATCGTCGGCCGCACGTCAGGGCAGCAGCAGCGGCTTGAAGTACGCCCGACAGAAGATCGTGGACGCCGACGGCGGCAGATCCTGGTTGCGATAATACATATTGCACTCGCGCTCCGTCAGCTTGTCGAACACGGCCGCATATTCGCGATGGAAGGTGGCCATGTCGACGTTGGCCCGGCCGATGGCCGTCAGCGCCAGAAAGAGTATGTCCCGGTAGAACGAGTGCGAACGCTCCACGCCGCTGCTCTTCAGCTTGTGCCGTTCGTTGGCCAGGCGCTTCAGCGGCGTTGCCAGATCGTTGCAGCGAATCGCCGAGAGGATTTGCTGAATGACACTGCAAGGGCAACGGGATGGGCATTCAGTTAATAACACATACATACATCCATACATCCATCTCTGTCTACACCACTCACTTCATGCTGAGCTGCGCCTGATCGGTCAGCAGCGCCTTTATCAACGGACTGGCCGGCTGCGTCTGTCGATAGAGAATGTACATGGGCGATCCGCTGGTCTCGCTGTGCAAGCTTAGGTTATCCCATAGGCACTGTATGTGTACGGTCTTGACCTTGGTCAGTGGATCCAGCTGCTCCTCATCGCTCTGCGGCAGAGAATAAAACATTATTGAGGCACTCTCTCTCTCTCTCCCTCTCTCTCCCTCTCTCTTTCTGACTCACCGTTGGCGGCAGACACAGCTCGGGCAGGTGGGTCTTGCCCTCGATGCGCTCCATGAGCCACAGCAGATTCCAGTAGATGATCGGGTGCTCCTCGACGAACGTGGGCTTGATGAGCGACAGGTCGCCCTCCTGGGTGAGTATGTTCTCCAGCTCCTTGCGCAGCACCAGCGGATTCAGATATGGCACCGTCAGGCTGCTCTTGTCCGCAGCCACGCGCTCGCCGTTGCTCTCGGCGTCGGCGGCGGACGCCAGGCGCGTGATCTGAACGCTGAGGAAGGGCACGGTCAGCTTGTTGCACGCATGGCACGTGGTGTTCAGGTTGGAGTCCTCCGCCGACCAGCCGCTCATGATCTCCTCGTCGTAGACCAGCACCGAGCAGTTGTGGCACTGGGAGCAGGTCGTCAGCTGTATCAGCACATCGCAGTCAGGATCGCCGTTGCTCTGGAATGGATTAAAGTACCGTTAGATTCAGTCTGCACTGCGCTGCCCTGCCCCTTTCCCTGCTCCTACCTCCGCTGGGGTGCTGTAGAGATTGTCGGGCAGCACGGGCAGCGAGTGCAGGTGCAATGCCGCATTGGAGCTGTTCTCGCCCAGGGGCACCAGATTGTTGTAGCTCGACTTGCGCGACTCGCTGAGCCTGCCCCACGGATCCAGGTCGCTGGAGACACGCCTCAACTTGCCCTCGTCGGCACCGCCAGCGCCGTCATGGTCCTCGCCGCCCGCAAACGCCTCCTGCTGATGGGGATGATGATGGTGGTGGTGCTGCAGATGATGGTGATGGTGGTGGTGGTGGTGATGATGATGGGCATGCTGGTGCCCATTGTTCGTCTTCACCGGCGTCGAGTTGGCCGATATGGCGCCCTTGATCTCATCGAACTTGCGCGTCAGCGAGTTGGCCGCGTACTTAATGCTGCTCAGGCTGCCCTGGATCAGCTCGTTGGACTTCTTGCTCGTCAGGCTGGGGCTGTTGGAGAGTAAGCGGTCGATGAGTTACGATTGTCAAGTCAAAGCTACTTCCACAGTAAACACGGTTAACAACAACAACAACAAGTTAKGCTAGGACAGCAGCAGCAGGAGCAGAGTCTAAAGTGGATTAGAGCTGAAAATTAACTGTTTCTTTGCCCATCCTTACTTTCATCTAACAGGCCTATCGAACACTTTCACCTAACAGAGTTTCATTTTAAAAATTGTACTTGAATGATATAATAAACTATCGCATACGGAGTTCCTCATTGAAGATCTGGCAAATAAAATATTGTCAAAGTTCTTGGATTTTAATGAGTTCGTAAATTAGCTGAACGTATTTCCACAGAGAGCTTGAGCAAGCCAATACAAGATCCTTAGAATAGAAGATACTCTCAGCTTTTAGACCCTTAATCCTTCCTGAAAACATACTCCATTGCACTTTAATAACTTCTGTGTTAATCAATAGATTGCACTGATCTACATATCCTATGTCGGGAAAGTTTAGTAAAAGGTTAAACTCCTACACATATAGGAAAGATTAGCAACTGAACTTCAATTTGAAGAATTGGGGAATTTAAAGAATTTAAATAACAAAAATATTTGATAAATATTTGTATAAAGTGAATGCAAATCTTGGAGGTTCTAGCTCCAAAGCTGTACGAAATATACCTTGATATTTGAATTATTCTCTTCTCTTGAATTCTTTTATCAGTTTTCATAGATATTCCTAGTTATAGATTCCTTGACACAGACTTCATTTGCGCGGACCTACAAAAGCTTACAAGTCTCGAGCTCTCATAGATTCAGAGTTCGATGGGTTCACAGCGCGGACAGACGGACAGAGCTAAATTACTCCCTCTGTCTATTACATACATTTTAACAAAGTCAATATACCCTCATTGCCCACTTTCAGTTTCTTTAAATATTTCCCACTTTTCAGCTTCTCACTTTACTGAAATGAATTAGGAATTACTTGAAATGCGTGTAATACTAATATTATCCCATTTAGCGAAGAAGTATAACAATTTGCTGCTGCTGTTATGAAAAGAACAGATTGAGAGAGAGAGAGAGAGAGGGAGTGTTAAAGCGAGAGAAAAAGAGAGAGTGAGTACAGAGACTTGAGTGAGATAGTGATAGAAATGAAGTACACAAGTGAGAGCGAGAGAGAGAGAGTGAGCGAGATAGAGAGTGAGTTTCGGGGCTGCAGTGGGTAATGAAGAAAACGAGGTTTACCGAGGATGTTGTGGTAATGTGCGTAACATGAATAACTGTAAACATTCAGTGTGAGTGAGTGAGAGAGCGAGTGACAGTGAGTGCGTGTGCATGTGTGGGTGGGTGGGTGTGAGAGTGGGTGTGGTTGTGTGGCTTGTGTCAAACCTTCAATTGCCCGCCACCAACAACGACAACAACAACAACAACATCATCATCATCATCATCATCATCATCAACCGACGATCAAATTGCGTTAAAGGACAACCCAAAACCCGAAACGTTTCGTATTGCAGTAATCGATCCCAGGTGAAACTTAAGTGGAATACATAAGAGTCTTCAATTGTTGTGCGTGTAGGTGTGTGTGTGTGAGTGTGTGTGTGTGTGTGTAATAGCAAATGCTGCGTGACATACTTGAGAAATATCAATATCAACCACATTTACAGCTAATTAACTACATGGAAAATTATTTGTTGTTGTTATTGAACTCAGTTAATCACAGCTTGATTAGAGATCTCTATATAGGTCTGCAGTGATATCTATATGATATTGAGTGGAAGCTATGATGAGAGTCAAGTTACGTGGAAAGTTTTACTATTTATGAGACTGACTGAACTTTGTGTATATTAAATTTAAGATTTTGCTCAGATTCATGGGATAGTCTGCTGCATAGACTTTGACTTTTAGCTATATAAATTAGAAACCAATAAATAGTTGCTGATTGATTCATAGAAATTAGCATACTAGTAAATCAGCATTACCATCTATAGCTTTGATTATGTCATTCCCATCTAAAGCTATATAATATAGTCCCTTTCCATTAATAGATTGCTTTGCTGAGATATGGATAGATGATGGATCAGATAATATATGGAAACATAAATGGACTATAGGGGACCAGAGATATCTCTTTACAGTTGAACATTTAAGCTCTTTAAGGAAATTCCCAATGGGAATTTCACAAATATGGATCAGCCATGATTCAGTTAGGCTTAAATTAGGATCGCCTAGTTTTGAGGCAATGTGAAAACGGAATTAGTGTGAAAGAGAACCAAAACGAATGCCGCAGCAGCAGTTGCAACATGTGTGCGTGTGTGTGTGTGTCTGTGTGTCTAGTGTACAAGTTTTAAGAGCTTTGCTGACTGACTTACCTTATGCTTGATATATTTTCTATAATATTGGCGGGCAATTTCAAGTCTTTCTTAAGGGACAATCGTGCGGGTGAATAACGTCTACAGTAAAAAAAAAAAAAAACAACAACAAATACAAAACGTTGCACAGAACCGAATTGGAGCGATTCAGAGAGTTTTCATATATGGGAAATCCAAAAAGGCAAAAAACAGAATCGAACAAATTAATAAATAAAATTCTCAAGGAGGGAAAAGAAATATAAGAGTTTGTATAAATCAGTGTGTGCGTGTGTGTGTGAGAGCGGTTTGTCTGTGTGTGTGTGGGTGTGCGTGAGTGTGGTTATACGCAAGTGATACGATAGATGAATGACACATAACATATACATATGCATATATATACATATACATATACATATGCATACATATACATATACATATACATATACATATATACATATGCATATACATATACATATACATATACATATACATATACATATACATATACATATACATATACATATACATATACATATACATATATACATATACATATGCATAT